CGAGCTTGGCACTGCCAGGACACAGATGTTTTCTCTTTGTGCTAGACACGAACAAGGATGCCGGCGATCCGGAGAGCCCTCAGCTGTTGCTTTTAGTTCCTGGAGCTTTACTCCCTCATTCATTCACATCAACTCTGCGCCAGGTGTGGATAAAAGAAATGGAATAAGACATGGTCACCGACATGAAGACATTTCAGTCTTAATGGGAGAAGCAAGATGCACAAGGGGAGAGGTGGCAAATGGGCCGTGCGTCACAAGGATGTGAGGTGACACACTTCTGGGGCGGACTGGCTGGACTCATCCAGGCTCCCAGCTGAAGGAGAAGTGGAAGTAGGTGGGCATCCCTTGTATATGGTTGATAAAATGTCTGGCGGTGACTTAATTTCCAAATGGAGGGCTGCAAAGTGTAATAGTCTCTTCAATCACTAGCTAGTGTCTTGGTCCAAAGTACAATTTTAACTTGAAACCAGTTTTTTGGTTACATATAAAGATTGGGACAGTGATATCAATCATAGCATCTTTTATTATTAAAGAGGACGAAGACAGCACTATGGATATACTTTAAATATCTAGGGATGAGAAACATAAGCAATTTGGTCCTTACAGATGTCTTTTATAGGATTACTCTATCAAAGATTTGGATTAAATACTTCACACTTACTATTATGACAGTAAACAAAATCTGGCCCATTTGAACTGGTTAGTCAGAGCCAGGCAGGTTTGGAGCCCTGGTGGCACAGTGGGTTAGGTGCTGAGTTGTTAAGCACAAAGTCAGAAGTTAGAAACCACTAGCTGTTCCATGTTAGAGAGATGAGGCTTTCTACTCCGTCACAGCCTCAGAAAACCCAGAGGCAGTTCTACCCTGGGTCATAATTGACGTGACAGTAGTGAGTTTTGAGTGAGAGTAGGTATTCTCAAGAGATAGGGTGGGGTGAGAAGGACACCTGTCGGGTATCATTATTAGAACCATCTGAGTAGAGTTTATCAACTAAACACACCCCCATGCCACCTGGGATTTTCATCTGCCCCTCTCTCTGAAAAGCAGTGAAATATCAAATCATTTTTATTGGATGAGTTTCATCTCTTATTGCATCAGAGGATATATAGCAAACTGACCAACTGATGGATGGTAACCAGAATCACTATATATGTCACTCATGTACGGGACTTATCACTGCATTTTCGGCTGTTGGTCAAAGTTAGGAGCTAAACAGTTATTACTAGCTACATATCTGAATTCTGATGGTTAGCACACAGGTCAAGCATGGTGGAGAGCTTATACACAAAATGGCTTTTTAAATTTTTTTATTATTTAAAAAAAATCATTGTCTTGGGGGCTCATACAGCTCTTATCACAATACATATATACATCGTGTCAAGATGTATGTATGTACATTTGTTGCCATCATCATTTTCAAAACATTTTCTCTCTACTTGAGCCCTTGGTATCAGCTCATTTTCCCCCTCCTATCTCATGAACTCTTGATAATTTTTTTCATGTTTTACCTGATGTTTTTTTCTCCATCCCCCCAGGGAGGGGGTTATATGTAGACCATTATGATCGGTTCCCCTGTTCTCCCCGCACCTTCCCCTTCCCCTCCTGGTATCACTACTCTCATTGTTGGTCCTAAGGGGTTTATCTGCCCTGGATTCCCTGTTTCCAGCTCTTACCTCTATTCATGTACATGCTCTGGTCTAGCCAGATTTGTAAAGAAGAACTGGGATCATGATAATGGTGGGGAGGAAGCATTAAAGAACTAAAGGAAAGTTGTATCAGTGCTATATATATATACTGTGCCCTGGCTGGCTCATCTCTTCCTTGCGACCCTTCTTTAAGGGGACGTCCAATTGTCTACAGAAAGGCTTTGGGTCTCCACTCTGCACTCCCTCTCATTCACATTGAGCAAAATGCCTTCTTGTAGCCAAGGAAAATATAATGAATGGGACACATGTAAAATCCAACTAAGGGTAAATGGGTGGCTGGTAGTGGATTGATGAAAATCTAGCAAGATTAATAGACCCACAGGAATACTGATGACCTCAAGTATTTCACTCTAAGCTTTAGAAATGTGGGACTAGGAAATGAGACAGGAGAGGATCCAGGGCAGTTGACGTTGACAGCAAAAGCGGCTACAGTCTGGTCCAGTAAGCCTTGTCTCTTTTCTGATTTGGCGTTCTTCCACGTTTTTCTCCCACTCAAGACCTTCTGTGATTCATTCCAGAGCAGATGGTAGTGGTAGCCGGGCACCCTCTAGTTCTTCTGGTTTCAAGGCTGTTTTCATGGCTATTTTTTACTCCATTGGACAAGTTGTTGACATGTGTCTTGCTATTTTCCTCTGGCCTGGGAAAGACCAAGAGTTAGAGACCTTAGATGGCTAACTCACAAGCTTTTAGCTGCTCACCCAATTAAGATGTAGAATGTTCTCTTTGTGAACTATTATGCCAACTGACCTTGGCACACACACACCTCTCCAAGACTACGGTTCTGTTCCCCCAAGTCTAAGAGTCGCTTGATTCATGGCTATATTTACAGTGAAAGTTAATGCACATGCTGTTAACTACACACGTGGGAGTGTCACCCACTCTTAAAGCTAGAATGCATTTAGGCTTCAATTCAGCCATTTACTGATTTACCAATGAATTAGTTTCTTGGGGTATGAACGTTGAGGCAAAATGGATTATTTCCTCCCCAGACGCCCAGTGGAGCGTTAGGAAGTTGTAGCAGTCTCACTGCCATCGAGGCGGTGCCGACTCAAGACCCTGTACGACAGGGTAGAACTGCCTAACGTGGAACCTCTGCCTCGCCAGGGCTACTACAAACTCGTAGTAAGACTTCCTAATTGAACACAGTAACAATCAACGCGCACACCCCTGTCTAATTAAGTCTAAATATCCAGCTGGGTTGGAAAGATCTGCAGTATGTACTAAATAAAGCAACCGTGCCGAGAGACATTGGAGGTGTTTCAAATGTCACAAAACTTTAACGTGGAGCCTGTCAGGGTGGGAGCTTACTAGATCCCTGCAGCCAGTGTACCCACCCGGGGATTTAAAACTCGAGGTGTAGGCATCAAACAATATCCAGCCACTCAACGGATGCACAAGTGATGGAGGCGAGGCGTTGGGCATCGCGGGGCAGTGGGGGTTACTTTTCCTAAACCGTCTTTGGTGGAATTTTCAGAGCGTTGCAGGCCCCTGGCAGCCGTTGGCCCGGCCGCCCGGCCGCAGCGACCTCCGGGCCTAGCCGAGCGAGCGCCCGGCTCCGCCCGAGCCCGAGCCGAGGCCTCGGAGCGGGGCCTGCGGGCGGCGGGTCCCCAGCCTACCTCGCGACCCGCTCCCTGGCTCCCGGAGGACCGCCGGAGCGAACGGCACAGGTCCCAGGGGAGTTTCGGTGCGAAGGGTCCCACGCGGAGCTTCGGGAAGTTGGCGAGGCTGGGAGCCTCGAGGAGCTTTCCAGGGGGCGGGCGCGCTGGCTTCACGGCCAGGATCCCGCTCTCGGACGCCCGCCCTCCGGCACAGAGGGCCGAGAGCGAGAAGGGCCCGGGCGTGCCTGGAAGCGCTCAGCCTCAGGCTTCCCCTCGCGTTGCCGCGAGC